TTACCTTTCCCATAAGCCAGGTTCTCCTTTGAACTGGCCAGGGCCGTGAGAACAGTGGAAAACAGCTCCAAGGATTTCCCATTGGTCAGGCTGCCCCCTTTAATGACATCCACAAACAGGTTGGCAAGCTCTGCTAGCGCGTGGCCTGGCAGCTGGCGGGCCTGGGAGAACATAAACAGGAGAGAGCCTGAGGCAGTACACAGAATTCCACATACACATCCAAACTGTCACCAAAACCCAGCAGAAGACAGAATTTCTTACAGGGAAATGCTCCCTTTCAAGAAAAATTCAGCCTGAGATCACTGTTTTGTACTGTTCTTTACAGAACACAGCAATAAATCAAAATTATTTGTTGCTATAAGACACGTGAAAGCACGACACATGCTACCTGCTATTTGTAAGGTAAAGAAGAAAAGTTTATTCTCTGACTCTGACTTTTATACTTTCCTAAATGTGACATTGGATTGGAGAGTGAATGGGCCACCTCTCCAAAGACATTGGACAAACTACTAGTACATCAAGTTTCTCTACCCCCATAAAAAATGTAAACAATCTGTTGTTTACAGAAATTGTGTGGGAAAGTCCTCCAGCAGAATGTAAACTCAGAAGGCTTTAGAAAATCTTAAGAACCAGGGTGACAATTATGTGATTATAGGTTTGGAGTTTTGAGCCTAATGTTAAATATCTAAAGATAATAAAATTCACACATAGAGCCAACTCCAACACCAGCTAATTTAGTCTAAGGAAGATCCATGGAAAGGATACAACTAAGTTTCCTCAGTGGTTTAGTGAAATATCTCAATTTACATGTTAAATTATACTCAGCAGAGCCCAAGAAAGCCAGCCCAAAGGAGCTTTACCTCCAGCATCAGCAGTCCTATGATTTCAGACACCTTGCTCAAATGCAGGTCCCCTGATTCCACTAGTGGGACACAGTGCTTGTAAACCTGGAGTCTCCTGAGAACACCGCTTCTCTGGGAACAGGGGGAGCCTTACAGCAAGAAAATAGAGGGACAGAAGAATGGGGAGAAAAGTTATGCAAGTAATATGTTGCTAAACTGCAGGAAATCAGCAGGGATAAACTGTCACCTGGCTGCAACTTCTTATTTTACCTATCTAACAAAATAAATAAAAAACCCTAGAGAACAGGAAACGAGATACTTGGATAAAGTAGTCGGCCACTCTGTTAGCACATCCTGTGGTTCAGGATGTGCTAACAGCAGCCGGAGACCAGGGAGTGTCAAAACT